ATTGGGCATCGTCAGTACCGGGCAGGCGGTCCTCGATTGAAGACAAAATGAGAAAAAACCAAGAAAGTACTTGATAAAAATAGCTGCGTAAACGCAAGCGAAACATAAGTGGAACCACCTATTGGTGTGACACCCAAGTCAACTTGCCAATTATTTTCCAGCAGCTTGACTGCATTAACCTTTCTAGATTTTATATATATGACCTGCTACAAACGTTATGTAACGTATTTAATTAATTGAATCTATCTATATATCTCAAATGAGATTGCTTGGTGATTGTTAGAACCATCTGTACCCAAAGAGCAAGCCTGAATACAAGTGAGCATGGATATCACCCCTTACGTAAAGGCCATCTATGAGAGTGACTGAAAACTAAAACCTTGTTTGTCGACAAGAGGTTTGCGGTGTTTGAGAGCGATACTCGTTTTGGATACATAGTACTAGTTTTTACCATCGAGTTCGTTTTAACCCCCAAAAAACTAATCGAAGCCAAAATGTCCGAAATGAGTTCAGGAGCCTCAAGAACATTTTGAACGTTAGCTTAAATTATTTTTTCATCATACAATATTGTCATCATATTCAATTATTTTCAATGTGTTTTTTTATATTGTTTTACTGTTCAATTTTTTAGAGCAACCGGTATGCTCAGGTATACAAACGACGTTATTAAAATTATATATCAATTAGATGATGAGGATGACGTCACGATTGGAACCGATTAGAAAGGTACTTTATCATCTGTACAATATGAAATAATGATGAAGCACTTGAATCAATGCTGGTATTCGAAAATAACAAACTATGAGTTTAAAAAGTGGACATTTATCTGAGATCACTTTCAGGTTGGGTGGTATTCGCGAAAAATGATTTCCTGAAATATTTTCATCTGATTGCTGAATGAAACAAAAATAAAATATTATCTAAAAAAGAAAATGTTCAACAAGAATAAAGACATATGTCATACTATGGGAAACGTCTCGTGGCATATTATCATTAATAAAAAATTGAATTCCGTATTCTCTAAAAATTGAACTTCAGCGACTTGTAGAGTTTTTGACTTTCTAATACTCCATCTTGATACAAAAAAAGTGGGAATCTTTCGCCGAAACAAATACTTTTATATGAACACTGAATTATACAAAAAACACTTTTCTCTACTCGAACATTCGTTATGCAAGCAGGTAAAAATATAAAAAGCCAAAACCTAGTTGCCGAAGACAGGTTCACTAGAAGCCTGCTGCTGAGTCATATTCCTGCGGTGAAGACTGCAGAAATGATCCTTATATGGTGACCGAATATGTTCAGGTCATTTTTAAGTATATGAGAACCTTGGAGGACAAGTATCCTATCAGGAAAGGTTTCCTCGATGGACGTGAAACAACTCCGAAGATGCGAGGAATACTCGTCGACTGGCTGGTGCAGATGGGTTTGAAATTCAAAATGCATCTTGAAACACTTCATTTGTGTGTGAGCCTTGTAGACAGATACTCACAGGACAACAAGGTGGGACGTAATACATATCAGTTAGTTGGAACATCTGCATTTTTGGTAGCTGCTAAATACCAAGAGACCATCCCTGCATGTATAATTTGAAGTTCATTGGCGGTCGCATTTATTCTGGAAAAAAATTCTACAAATGGAGAGAGACATACTGCTTAAGCTCGATTTCGGTCTGGGTCGCCCCTAATCCATTGAATGTTTGAGGAGGTACGGTCGAATTGCTAAGATACGCAGGGTTCACCATGTCTTGGGTAAATATATGTTAGAGCTGGCACTTATGGAATACGGCATGAGCCACCTAAAACCATCGCTTCAGGCTGCTGCAGCCTGTTGTCTATCAATGGGAATTCTCAATGGCATTAGCGACTTGTCGAGTCTTTGGAACCCAACCCCCATTTATTATACGGGTTACGAATATGCTGACTTCGAAGGACTTGTAGTTTGCTTGGCAAGAATTTCAACCAAAAGTGAGACTTCCAGCTTGCAAACTATCAGGAGGAAGTATGCTGGGCCGGAATGTGCAA